AAAAAAAAAAAAAAAAAAAAAACTGGATAAAAAAGTAGAAGAAATGTTGACAACGGCATTTTGTCTTTGTTTACGACGAAAAGTTAGAAATTAACCCCTTACTGTCGGCTGCTTATCTCATTTAATCCACTTTCCTCGACTAACTGAGGAAATTCACGTTATTCCCTTGCAGAAAAAAAGCAAAAACGACGACGTCATGTTCGTAAGATCGGCGTTGTTATTTCTTCTCCTTAACCTGACCGGAGTGATGATGTTCAGGCTGAAGAAGAATGACGAGATCGAGACTTCTGAAGACCCCAAGCGCCCCAATTATGGTTTGCTTCCCAAGTTGAAGAATGGCGAGAACGAGATTCCTGAAAACTTCAAGCGCTCCATTTATAATGGTTTGGTCTCCAAGTTGAAGAATGACGAGACTGAGGAACCTGAAGAGCCTGAGCCAACCAAGAATACCAAGGCTTTGGGTCGCCCAGGTTTGTAATTTGTTTGTTTGTTCGTCCGTACTCTACAACATGTTAGGTTATAAGTTTAGAAAGTGAAAATGTTTGTATCTTACAAACTTGAACACGGAAAACCAAGGAAGTTTTTTTACCTCTCATTAATAAAACGGACAGGGTCCCGACTGATATATTGTGTTTTAATACGTATGGCCAGGAGCTTGCAAGAGAAATGGAAAATCAACTAAACAGATAAATAATGACTAAATTTTACCAGAATGGCAGGTTTGATTTCTTGACATCCTGTCGCAAAACTAAATTTGATGAACCGTAATCCACCTCCATCCTCGAAATCGTGGGCTTCTTACTCGTTCTATTTTGCTTTTTGGAATCTTTTGATCCAATTTATTTGTGTATTTGGTTACATTTGGGGATATAATATGGAAATTAGGAAAGAGACCTTAAGCAGCGACAACGGTCCGTCTTAACGGCAGCGACACTGTCCACTATCTACTGTCTTGAGGGTAATCAGTCAAGATAGGTAACACAGTATGAACATACAGTATGAACCTTTTTCGCACACGCTTCAATACACCACAAAAAGGCAGTTTTAAAATAGATTTTATGGCCCGGACTGGGTTTGTCGTCTTGCTCGGCTACAAGTCATCATCCTCCCACACAACGTCGAATTTGAGTCGTCTTCTGTTTAAAGCACTGACAGCGTGAACCTGTTTTAGAATTGTTAATACGTTTGTTAATCATATTGACTGTTCAAACTGACTTCTTTTTCAGAGGGTAGAGCTCCTGGTGATTGTATTGCTTGTTTCCTGATAGAATGTGGCTTCCCAGCCTTTGGATGCTTAGGTGCCGGTCCTGCATACTTAGGCTGTCTGACAGCAGCCTGTGGCGGTGGTATATTGGCAACCGTATGCTTGGCAGATTGCTTTCTTCCTATTTAGGTCATGCTCTCAGCCAGTGCAGTCAAGAATGGATACTAGTAATTGTAATTATTAGATATCCAAACGGACCTTATTACCAATGGTCATTTCAGTATACTGTAAACCGCTTTGCTGATTTGTTGTTTTTTTTTATTTAAGCGAGGATGCGACTTATAATCAAGACCATCTGTAATTGTTAACCTAATCATAATCTTAAGGACCTCTCAGGGTCTGCTGAATAAATAAACATGGCTGACAGCATAAACAGAGTTGTTGTCGTTGATAGTTGTTTTAGCTCCGAATTATGGAAAAAGAAAAAAATATAAGGCAATGCTGCGGCGTCTGCAAGCGATTATAATTTCACCTTTTTTTACCCGGAAAAATACTTTTGGGTAGCAACTCTTCTTTTGCAAGCCAATGAATTGCTTTCAGTGTAGTGATAATACCTTTGGCGTGTTCGCTAACAGCTGTCACGCACTTAGCAAAATTCAGCCTTACAAAAATACATCATAACAAGGCTCCAGGGAATAAACCCATATAATTCCTGTGGTTTATTCCCCAGAACCTCGTAATGTTGTCTTTTGTTTGAAGCTGAATTTTAATACATGGAAATTGGGTTATTGGGCTAGTTCGCACGCCTGCTTAAAGTCGCCGTTTTTTTGCAGCTCTTTTTGCTTCCAAAAGTGTTTTTCTTTAATTGATAACCGGCAAAACGGACAAAACATTGCATTATATTTGTATCGGTTGGCATCATTGGACCATTTCGTCAGGAAATTTCGAGTTTACGAATTTCAAATCTGAGTATCTGAGTACGTCATTTTTTCCTTAAGTTCTTGGTCGTTCGATTCATTACTAACAACTGAAAAATAACTGGAGATTTACGTCTTCGAAATGTTTTCGAATAAATCAGTTAGAAACAGCTATTGACAGATCTAAGTCTCCGTTGATAACACACACATTGACACATACTTTATTGAAGCTCCCTAATTGGGTTTTCAGCATCAATGGAAAATACAAAAGTAATTTAAGATATACAGTGTAGCCCCATTAATACGATTGGCTTTGAAGCATAAAAACTTGATCGTATAACCGGTGATCGTATTAACAAGGTTGGTTCAAACGTGATGTTATTATTGACCATTACTAATTCTGACCCCCATTTATAGTCTTATTTGCAATACAGTGAACACGTTAAGAGTTTTTCCCATTTTTTGTTATATTTAGTCATCTTATTATGTTTTACTGCTATTTGTCGTTCTATGCGCCGAAGTATTTTAACTTTTGCTACCAAAACCATATTGTCCAATTTGCATTTATGAACATAAAATTTTGCCATAAGTATCAGGTGATTTAAAATGATATTATCTTTGCTTTCACTAAAATCACCAAATAAGATAGTCATTAATGTTAGAGCCTCTACTCTCTGTGTTTTTTTCCTAAGCCAGGAAGTAAGGGCTTGCCAAAATCTGTACACCCACAGTAAAAAAGTAGATGTTTGAGGGATTCAACTTCCTTTTTACAAAAAATGCATAAAGGTGAAACAATCATTTTAAATGTGAAGAGCTTTTCATTTGTAAATATGATATCATTCAAAAGCCTATATTGAAATTTCCGCAGCTTTGTCTCTATTGTGAAAACAAATGGCGGGGAATAGATCTTTGTCCATTCCACCGCTAGCTCGGAATATTTATTTTGCAGTTTGTTTTGGGCAGCTGGAGGGGTTTGCTTTTTGAATTTGAATTCTTTATAAAGTAGTTTTGATGTCATGTTTAGAATATCAACGTCCTTTCTATCCACTCTGACAAAAATAGTACCATTTGCTGTTTTTGGGGCAGAGTGTTGTTGATTCCGCTGGATGAGAATTCTCCAGTCTGGTGAAATTGTACTCATTAATTTGATTCTGGTTCTCTCTTCTGAATACTGTAGTCAGGAATAACAAAAACGTCAATAGGAAAAAGAAGACACGCAGCTGATTCAACAGAACAGTAGAAGAAAGCCTCATTTGATATCAATATAAAAAGTTTTCTCTTCCTTTAAAAGCAATGAATTATGGTGATATCTTCACTTGTCAGTAATGTAAACTGTAACGACTGGAATGCAGTGACTCATGGGCAGCAAAATTCCAAATGGACGTTAAGAAGTGAGGGATCTGACCTGAACCTCCAATTGACTTTAACCGGGGAACAAGCGTCAAGAAATTGATCAAGCTTTTTTTCGGGCCCAAAGGGAGTTGTCGTGAGGTCAAGATGAGTTAATGTTGGCCAATGACGAATATACAACAAAGCGCGCGGCTTGGTAGTCTGTGCAAGAATATTTCGAAATGCGATCAAAACCAATCTATTGAACAAGTGCTGAAACACCTGAGCAGCTTGGGACACACTCGAAAATGTTCACGGCTTAGCACATAAATTTCTGTCTCAAAACTATCAGCTAAATTTTAAACTGCTAACGACAGATACGACAGCGTAATTCCCATGTGAGAAGTTCGTCATTTGTGAGAGCGCTTGCGCGCTTCTCTTTCTGAATTTGAGCCAATCAAAGCCCATATTACAAGTCCGGTCCAACGTGATTGGCTCCTGCTTCGCTGAAAAAATTGTCTATAGATAGCTTACTCTTGAATCTGATAGCACAAGACCCAATACCAGAGATATACACTTCTAGCATTAGAAACTTCTCTTTAATAATATACAAAAATTACAAAAGAAACAATGCAAAATAAGCTTACACATAATAATTATAGTGATAATAATAAAAAAACCCTCATGAATAGAAGGTGTAAATAAACAAACATTCAGCTTATCCTCCCTACTACCCAATAAAATTAATTATTGTTAATATTGTTAATTGCAAAGATTAAGTAGTTTATCCCAGTTTCTGAAATTACCTTAAGAGCTTGCATATCCTTTCCTAGCAATATTGAGCTTAATACTATAAGTAGTTTAAAGTCCTGACTATGAAGGGTAAACTGTTTTAACATTTCTTAGAGTAAATATTCCCTAATAATAAGATGGCATTAATTATAGTGATCAAGATCAAGTTCAAGAACAAGATCAAGTCCTCCACTTGACAGGACAAAGCATGTTTTCAGATTTCGAAAGATTTATATTCTGCAGACAAAGAGTAAATGCTGGAAGGATTCTGCTTCTTTTTGATAGAAAGTGCAGCTTGGAAAATCAGTTATCCCGAGACGATAGATTTTCTTGATTGTATATACTATAAAATTTAGAATTTTGTATTGGAAGATTCCCTGATCTTACAATCTAGAGTAGTATTGCGCAAGACTTAACTTTTCTTGCGCTCTTGCGGAGTTACCCATATAACAAAGCTTGTTAGTTCCTTCATCACGTACGCCCTAAAACTTAGTCGATTGAAAGTTAAACCCACGAGACTCAGGCATCGTGTTACACAGGAAGATATAAAGACCATTCAACTGAACGAAAAACATTCTAGAACAGAACTGTCGTGACAAATAGAACGCCCTGAAAACAACCGGTGATCAGGCGAATTAACCATGAAATAAACCTTGTTAGTTCTTTTGTCGCGGATGTCATAGAAATTAATCAAGTGAAAGTTAAACCCGCTGAGACTCGGGCATCGTGTTAAACAGGAAGACATAAAGACCATTGAATTGAACGAAAAATACTCCAGAAAAGAGCTGCCGTGACAAACAGAACTCCATAAAAATAACCATTAATCAGGCGAGTGTTTCCGAGAGCCTTATTTGCTTTCTCTCATTTAGGGGTCGCTCCAGGCCTGGACTAAATATCCGGGTACTTTTCAGACAAAATTTAACTTCAAGCTGAGACAATCTGTCTCTATGTGGCCCTTGCAAAGAGACAAATAGGTAATATCAAAGGACAGAAAATAGTACATTGTACTATCAAAATATTTGTGTCTTTGTGCGGCTCGAGATACCGCGACTGCTGCATGCAAAGATACTTTTACTTTTTTTTTTTTTTCCCTTTAGAAAGAGTTTTTTGTTTTTTGTGGTAGACGACAAAACATGGCATTATTTTTGTACCATAACCGCTTCTCATCATTCGACCATTTCGTCAGGAAATTTCGAGTCAACGAATTCGAAGACTGAGTATCGTCTTCACCGTGAGATTCGTTGTCATTTGTTTTCATCAAATTTTTTGTTCGTTCTCTTCATTGGTCCTTTGTTGGTCGCTTTTAAATGCGACCAATTACCTCCTCCTGGCGTCCCCCAATTACCTTTATTTGCTTTATAAATTTACCCCTTCAATACGACCACTCGAAATCACTGACGAGAAAAATGAAAGAAATAAGGCAAATAAAAACAGAACTGTCTTTAGTTACAGTAAAATGAACCAGTTGTGTTCACTGCGCGTATTACAAATTAATAGGGGTTGAATTATCTTATATTTTCCATTGATGCTGAAAAATACAATTAGGGAGCTTTAACAAAGTATGTGTATGTAATTAACAGCGACTTAAGCTGCGTTCACACTAGGCCGAAACATGATTAGTCTGGTCACGAATGAAACAGGTTTCATTAGGAAAACTGTTGACATTTTGCCGTGCATTACGCGAATCATGATCGAAACACGTTTATTCTGAGGACCTTACAGGGTAGTTTCGAACTCAATCAAATAAACAGCGTCAACCTTGGCGGCTGAGAGTGAAAGGGAAGGAAGTTTCCGAAGGGCTTGTCAATTGAAGCACTTAATAAAAGCAAATAAATACAAGTCAGAGCAATCTTGGGTTTAAGTGTAATTATAAGGATTTCATGCGAGTGCCATAAAACCGCATAAATTCATATAGAACAATGGCGTGGACGTGTTTGGTAACAAAACTAATGTAAACAATGCAGTTACAAACATCTTTTGAGGAAACGTGTCTCTTATAAACATGTTTACTCTAAAGATGATACGGTGATAGAGCGAACGCAATATTAGATCTGTCAACAGCTATTTCTAGTAATTGTTTGGAACAATTTCGGGGAAGGAAAATCTTCAGTTGTTTTGCAGGTACAAGTAATAAAACGAACGAGCAACTTTAGAAAAATGGAAACGAATTTCACGATGAAGACCCTTACTCAGCATTCGAATTTGAAAACTCGAAATTTCCAGACGGAATGGTCGAATGATGACAAGGGTTTATGGTACTAAAATAATGTCATGTTTTGTCCCTTTTGCCGGCTACCAAAAAAGTCGAAAACACTTTGAACAATAAATGTTGCACAAATCTTGGAACGACGACCTTTTAAAGTCGTCTTTTTAAAAGCAGGCATATGAATTGGCGTGAGCAGCGGGTTGCCACGAGAAAAGCAC